TTGGAACATTTTTGTTTACCACAAAGACAAAAACTGCTTAGTCCTAAAGTCCTTTTTTGGATACCACTAAGTGGTGCGGATCTTATTGGTAGCATGCACAGCTAATGAAGTCACGGCAGTAAATTCAGCTTCTTCAGTCCCCCCGCTTAGTGTGTTCCTTTCTGTTATTCATTCTTTTTCACCTTACCTTCGCCAAGGTCCAACACGGCAAGCACTGCACTAGTCCTGGCTTCCCCCAGGGGGTTAATGGCCACACAGGTGTAGAGTCCACCATCGGCTTGGTGGCAGTCCCAGATCTGCAGTCCTCCGTAGTCCTGGTCATCAGAGGGCAGTAGGTCATCGTTGCGGTACCAATGAAGGGTGGGCTGTGGGTGACCCCCAACAGTAACCCTTAATCGGACATCGCATCCTGTTGCTACAGCAGCCCGTCTCAGCTTGCGCAGGAAGACAGGCGGGGCAGGGGTGCCATGCTGATCTGAGGTAGCTTCAGCTTGGCTGGATGATATCATTTCCACTGACCTAAGAAAGCCAGCTTCTCTCAAAGTTCTTCTTCGAGCTTATCTCTGGACATTTAACATGAATATTTCAGAATTACAGTCTTACTGTGATCTGTTTCATCAAAATAATCCAACAGTGACAGAATGAAAGTTATCATTATTGCATGTAAGATGTACAAGAAACTGTAATATGAGTATAAAAAATTCTGAAAGCTGACCAGAATATGGATCAGATACCATGTGTAGCTTGAAAAGATACGTCTCCAAAATTTCCATGGGTAGTATATACAAATATTGTACAAGCTCATAGAAACCTATTTGGTGAATTGGATTAATACTGCAAACTGAAAAGGAAAAAATGCTAAAACATTTTGAATGCGCAGTGTATCTATTGTACAGTGACATAGTAGACAAATTAGTAAAATGTATCGATCTATTTAGCACCAGAATAGCTCAGAAATTAGTTCTAACTAAACATCACTGAGAAACATGCTGCCTCAGTCTTGAAAATGTCAAATTAACATAATAAGACTCTGAAAAGAGAAAGTCTTTACCTTTGGCCAATTAAGAGAGCAGAGCATATCGTTGAGCCCCCATCCAGCATGGCCACTGCACTAAGCCCTCTAAGGATCAAACAGCATTAGCAGGAGCTCTGTTTACACCAGTGAGGTGAGGCGGACCCTTGCTCTCTCTCTCTCTCTCTCTCTCTCTCTCTCTCTCTCTCTCTCTCTTCCTCTCTCTCTGCGCTCTACCAACTCTGACAATGTCAAAGAGGGCCCAAGCCAGCAGGCTACTCCTTGTCGAGCTCTGTCTAAGCTTCCTGTCCTCTCTGAAGTTGGGCTCTCCCTCACTTCTAAGTGTCCTTTTCCTGCTCGTGCCCTTTAACCCTGACCGACTCCCCATGGAGGTGATAGTCGAGCAGCACTAGCCTTGAAGTGACAGCTGGAGCCAGAATAGGCTGCATTTTTTGGGCGGCCCCTGTGCTTCTGTAGCTCCCCCCACCTTGACTAACCATGTAAGTGGGTCGTTGTAACCAACCAAATAACTACGCTGTTTGTGTGTGTACACAGCCTGTGTGCGTAAGGAAGTGCCACTGAATGAATGTTGTCTGATTCATCCATCAAAGATAGTAGCCTACAAGGAACATGAGGTATCGGAGACATGTGATCTAACTAAACAATACGCTACAATGAGGCTGTAGTGAAATATTTAGCTTGCATTCAATTATTAGTTCCAACTAGTGAATTATTAAGGTACTAAATGTAGCTCAAGTCATGTTGTGCTTAACATTACTTGCTCTTTTCAGTTAATTCTTTTGATTAAGATATAATAATTTATCTTTTTTGGGATTGAGCAAGAGTGATGCGTTGACCTTTTTGTCTTGAACCTCTTCTATCATTTCACTTTGTCAAAACTAATGTTCTTAGCATACTGCTTTGATGACTGCCAAAACATTTACATCAAGGCAGCATGTACCAAAGTATTCACTGCAAAAACCAGTTAATTCACCCCTCCTGCTGGCCATTTTAAATAATACCACTCCAACTACAACTACACAAAACCCTTTAACTTCAACTTTGGAATGTTTGTATAATTTTAATCATAATTTAGTCAAAATAAGGATGTTATTTAATTATTCAATGAAGATCTTTTTTGTATGAAAGTATATGGGCTGTTGCCATGCGGAGTGCATTCCCAGAATACAGCTGGGTATCGCTGGCACAGCTCCAAACCTCCACAGTGACATGAACCCGAGAGAGCTAATGTGTCAATGTGTTTATATGTCGTGGACAAGACTGTTCGTCTCCACAGATTACAAAAGCAGCTAAACTTAAATGTGTGAAATGCTTCATGTAAATATATTGTTAAAACCAAAAGCTGCTGTATCATCTGATATTTTGTAGCATTTAGGCTAAAGATTTCAAATAAAGCTGTACATGCTTGCTTGTGGCTCTTCTCTATTGTGACACAGCTTATCTGAACCTTGTCACCCTGCCAAGCGTGCCCACACACAAACACAGAGAGAGAGAGAAATAGAGAAATATGATGTTGAAAGTGTTGTTTGTCTTACTCACATTTCCAATATGCATTGTGGCGAAACTGGTGCTGGAAGCAAAGAGCTACTGTAAAATGAGACTCTAAATCCTAATAAAAATCCAAATGAAAAATGGATGATTATTAACAGTGTTACAGTGACAGACTGGATCTATATAATGCAAAGTTGCCAGACAATGGCCAGGAGAAGCAACAAAAGCAGAAATCACACACCCTATAATGAATATAATAAAAGATTAATTTAAAACATAATATTCCTCTATTCCTCTGTATAGATTATCTGTGTAATTTGTGTGCACATGTGCTACCTATGTTACTGGATGATTTTGATTGTGAATGTAATTGTAATTTGTGATGGATTGAAGTAGCTACCCCAATACTGTTTACAAATATACATCTAATTGTACAAATGGCCAGGCCCATCATTTTATGGCTGTGTGCCCAGGGGCCCAGGCTAAGAGGGGGCCTCTACTAAATATTACAACAAAATCTAAACAGATATTTTGATTTGCAGTGAGATCTTTTTTAGCAGTACAGCAAAAAATGAACTAATTTTAAACTGTCATTGTTTTGCAGCCGATCATAATCCTGGTACTGTCTTTCTTCAACGTCCACTTCACAGCAAAGAATAAAAGACAGATCAAGTCCCTGGTTCACTACTAAGTTTCCTCATTGTTTAAAGCCAGAAATAAAGCTTGGTCCAATGCCAGACGCACAGGGGAGAGAGATCACTGGCTTACGTTCAGACAACTGAGTAATAAATGTACCTCTGCAGTTAGAAAGGCCAAATCAGATTATTATCTCAGCCTGATTACCAGTTCTACAAACACTCAAAACTTTTGGAAAACTATAAAACCCCTTAAAAACAATTCCTCTTTTCTTCCAACCAGCGTTACATCTCACTTTTACAGTTTTTTTTCTTAACTTGCAACAGCACATAAATGAAAAAATGTTGTTATGTTTATCTCAGCTGTCCAGTTGAAATGTATGTTGTTGTCATCGAGGTGAACGTTGTGAGAGCAGAGGCATTTCATTTAGTATGTTTAATCATTTAGTAAGCAGTACATTGGCTGTTGGGTTTATGTTAACCTGTGTTCTTGTTAATGTGTGCGTAATCCCGCTATTGTTTTTTTATTTTAGTTTGATAGTTTAGTTTCTTAGCCGCAAACTTTGCAGTTTGGTCTAAACATCAAAAACATTCTTGAAAAAATGAAATGAAAATTAAAAAAATAATGGTGACATGCATTCAACACTGGTTAGTTTGCTGCCACTGTGGTGCTACATGGCCTTTATGTAACCTGCTGTGATACTGATGGACTGTGATTCACACATTGTGAATAAGATTAAGACTAATATCTCGCCATAGTCCACAGAGAGCCTGTCTTTCATTACTGATGATGCTTGTTAGATACGCCACTCATAATCATAAGACTGGCAACAGGCGGTTACACTATCTGCATCTGACTAATGTACTTTCTTTCACTTGACATGAAATAATAACTCAGTTTGGCCTTACAGTTTTATTGATTTTATGTAATGGGCTCAGAGTTGCAAAACTACTATTCAATGAAAAAAAATATTGAAAAATTCTGCCTCATGGGCGCAAATTAACCCACACCCTAACACACCCTAAAATATACCATTTTTATAATCTATAATGAATGGCTCATGAAAAAGGACGTTTCAAGGTTGAGATAAAGGGATTCACACACTAATGCAACAAAAATATAACTTATTACGTATTTTCATGATTATGTTTCAAGGTAAAGTGTAGTTAATGCTATTAACTACAAAATGCTGTTTTCTAAGTGCTGTAGATTTTTTAATGCTTTCAGTTATTAATCTTCAAAATAGTTTCAGACAAACGTATTAGTGCTGAAGTTTCATGGTTTTTTAATTACAGCTAGCCAAATTATCTTAGGCTATTGTTGCCAATTTTAGAAAAGAACAATATATACATTACAGCTGCAATAATTAAAAACATTTGCTATGGTGATTGATTTTTTTAAGGCACCAGTTGAATGCAACTTGCTGTACACTTTTGTGAGAAAGGCAAATGTTTTGAGACACGGAGCTCTTTATACATTGTGGCATTACAGGCCTTCCAAGGTCAAGAACAAGGTATTATAACAGTTCCCCAGACTGGTCTATCTCACTGGCCTCTTCCCTGCTGCCCACAATGATAGCGTAAACCCAAATACTGGCGTCAAACATGCAGTGCACTCGTAGGAGGAACCACAGGAAGCGAAGAAAACAGAGATAGAACTGAGAGAACAGACAGAGGACAAGTAGCACGCAGTTGTGTTAGAGAAATCTGTTCCCGTTGTCCCATATGTAACAATCTGCAGAGGCTAGTCAAGCAAAAGTTGTATTTCAGTTGTATTTTTTTTTTTATTAGCTTGGAGATTATCTTCCCTCTCTTCTGTCTTCTGGTTCTTGAGGAGAAGAATGGGGATCTACACCATGTGTCCTGCTCTGCTCACCTGTACTCTGATCATGTTGGCAGTGCTGACTGACCGTCAGTCCCAGGCCTGCCCAGGAGAACATGTGCCTCGGGAAGTGGTGCTGCTATGGTTGAAGCAACGTATCCTGGAGGGGCTTGGGCTAGATGAGCCCCCTTTGCTCACACTGCAGAGGCCGCTTGGCGAGAGGGTGGACAGGGCAGCCCAACACGGAGCGTCACGAGTGAGCAGGGCGACCAGAGTGGAGCAAAGGCAGCATCAGGAGACCTCGCAAGTTATCCTGTTCCCCAGCTCCGGTTAGTTGGTCCAGTTGGGTTTCTGTTGGTTCGAGATACTCATCTCCTGTCCTAGAGGGCAGCAGTCCAGCACTGTTTGGTGTTTTTCACGATAACATACACGGAATTTATCTCATATATTAATAATATCACCAAACTGAGCTCTGGTGAAACCTGACTGGTAATTTAATGTGATGATCAGTTATTAATCTCAATGTAACTAAGCTCTGCTGAAGCCTGAGTAGACTGATAAGCCAGTTATTAATATCAGTGTTACTGAGCATTATAATAATTGCATTGTGACATACAGAAACTAAAATGAACAGAAAATCACATAGCTACCCACTTTATAATCACATTTGTGAGATTTTGTTATTGGGATATGTCAAATTGTTTGCTCAATGAGATGGGCCATCTTGCTCAGGGGAATTGTGAGAGCAGCAGTGGACTGAAGTGGACAGATGAAGAGAGCAACAAAAAAATTGAGAATTTTGGAACTTCGTTCAGACGAGAAGTGAATTCTCAGAATTATATCTGAAAGTTTTTAACGTGGGGGCACTAAGCAGCACCCTACATGGGGGCTACCCCATCCAAAAAATATTCTTTTGTAAGTGAGAATAGAAAATGAATTGTTAGGGTAATTTTGAAAATAAAGTCTTTGGACTCACTGCACTTTTTCTGCAACATATATTGTATAAATGCAAAAATGACCTACTCTGGGCCCCTGGTGGCACCCCAAGCAACTGCTTATGCCATTCATAGCAAGAAATGAAACAAAATACGTTAAATACAACACAAAGACAATTTTATAATAGTTCAGAACGATCGTACCATGTGTCAAAATTACACAGATGGAAGTTTCAGTAAAATCTACTTGGAGAGAGGTTTGCTGTACTGTCACTGGCAAATTTGAACATTTACTCTTACTGCTGAATGTCACCATTATCCGTTTATTTTTTTTCCAGTGTGGTTTCTACATATTACGCTGCATGTCCAGGGGAGTGATTTGTTCCTGTTTGAAATTTTAACAATGTATACATACTACATCAAACTTTTATTACTTAAAAAAATAGAAAATTAGGCCTTTAAGGCTGTATTGAATATAGTTTTTATTTGAATATTATAGACCCTGGAACACAGTTAGGCACTGTTTTGATACTTCCGCTGTTTTATTTTCAGGTGAAGTGGGACAGTGTATGTGCAAAAGCAGGACAGTCCTTCAAACACATAATGCATAAGTACAGCAAAATCCTATGTACAGCAACAAAGCACTTTAGCACATTTTGATATTCTGAACTGGCTTATTTTTAAAAACAAGGTGGATAGACTTCTGCATGTTTCATGCACTGGTAAGGAACTGTCTGGCTTTCTCTATGATTGTCTGCTTTCTGTATTCTTCAATGTTCTTTTCTCTCACGGACTTACAGTCCTCAGAAGACTACAATTCCCCCAATCCCTAACCAGAAATCTTCTTCCATTGATCTATCTCCAAGTTTCATCCCTCTACCTTTATGCTGTTTTTTGTCTCTCTGTCCTGACTGTTTTGGGTCAAAGGGGAATTCCACTGATTTTTCAATTTTTCTCCATTATTACATTGTTAAGATGTAAACAAAGTCATTCAGAGTGGTTTAAAATGAAACTCTCCATTATAGAGAATGAGAATTTTTCTTAGCAATGGTGATAGGAACCAGATATCCAAAGAGTTGAATGCCTCTGAACCTCTAGGCATCTCACAGAAAGTTATTACATGAAATGGTTATGAATATTCTGCGTGATGTCTGAGATATTGTTTTTTGATTTTTGAAGGTCTTGCCATAGCATCTCAATGACTCAATTCAAGTCAGGCTTTGACTTGGCAGCTTCAAAACCTTAATTTTGTTCCTTTTCATCCGTTCAGAGCTGGACTTACTTGTGTGCTTTGAATCCCCTGTAGGATTTTCTGATAGAGAGCAGAATTCATGGTTCCATCAATTATGATAAGTCATCCAAGTTCTGCAGAAGCAAAGCAGCACCAGACTATCACACTCCCACCACCATGTTTGACTGTTGGTATGATGTTTTTTATGGTGGGATGCATTGTTAGCTTTACACCCGATGTAAAGGGACACATGTCTTCCAAAAAGTTCTACCTTTGACTCATCAGTCTGCAGAATATTATCCCAAAAGTCTTGGGGGTCATGTAGATGATTTTTGGGAAATCCAAGATGAGGCTTTGTTTTTTCTTCGATCAGCAGTGGTTTGCACACTGCAGCTCTCCCATGGATGCCATTTTTGCCCCATGTCTTTCTTACTGTGGAATCGTGTACATTGACATTAACTGAGGCAAGTGAGGCCTGTAGTTCTTTAGAAATTCATCCCAGAGCCTTAGCAATGGCTTTGTAACTCTTTCCAGACTGGTAGATTTCAGATGTTTCGCATCTGTATTTGAATCTCTTTAGAATGTGGCATTATGTGCTGCTTTTAAAGACCTACCCTGATTCACATCAGCAGACAGGTTTTATTTAATTGATGTTTAGATTTAACAAGTCAGACAGTAATCGTGCCTGGATGTGGCTAGTGCAATTGAACCCAGTACTCAATTGTATTTGATTAACTGATTGATTTAGTAACTAAGACGGCAATTAATTATTCCCACAGGGCCAGGTAGGGCTGAACAGCATTTTTCCTTCAATAACTGAAATTATGACTTAAAAACAGCATTTTTTCTTTTCTCTGGGTTATCTTAAAAGTAATTTGATGATCACTGAAGTGTGACAAATATATAAAAACAGAAAGAACTGAGAATGGGCAAATACTTTACCATGGGACTGTATGTGTAGTGCATTGTAAGGCCAAGATAACTTTTTTCAGATTTACCACAATTTCACTAATATCAACATTACATTTAAAAATTCAGAAGCTGCATGTATGTTCACTGGTCAATAAAAATGGCAATATTTGCATTGTAGACATTGTGACCCCTGGTTTCTATCACTACCACTGTAAAGAAAATCCATGACAGTAAATTTCTTTACAATGTATCATTTCACATCAAACAACTCTGAATGAGTTTGAATACATCTCAGTGATTGAATTATTGAGACATTTTGACAAATTGGTGGAATTCCCTTTTAAGAGCATTTTTTTGCCCAACGTAATTCAATGTTTGTATTGTGTTGAATGTTACATGATTCCACACAATAGCTAATTAATATAAAGCCTGTAGACTCTACACCACACATCAGGCATCAATAAGCTATGCTACCATTAGCAGCCTAATGTAAGTACTAATACATATAATTAGGCTTCTTATGAAATATCCTGCCTTAGAAACACTGTTAACTTACACTATATCGACAAAAGTATTGGGAATACAATTGGGACACATTGTATTCCGACGTTGCATTCAGCTCCATTGCCACAGGTGTACAAAATCAAGCACCTAGCCATGCAGTCTTCCCCTTCATTTGTGTAAGTATGACTTGTTTTACAGAGCTCACTGAATTTGAACGTGGTACTGTAATAGGATGCCAATGTTGAAACAAGTCAGTTTGCAAAATTCCTTCCCTCCTAGATATTCCATGAGCAGCTGTGAGTGATATTTTTGAAAAGTGGAAGCTTTTAGGAACCACCTGAACTGAGTCATGAAGTGACAGACCACATAAAGTTACAGAGCGGGTCACCAAGCACTAAGGCACGTAGTGCATAAAAGTCGCCAATGCTTTGCCAACTCAGTAACTGCGGAGTTCCAAACCTCCTTTGGTATTAACAACTGGACAAAAACTGTGCACCGGAAGATTCATGGCATGGGTTTCTATGGCCAAGCAGGTGCATACAAGCCTTACATCACCAAGCACAATACCAAGCGTCGGATGGAGTGGTGTAAAGCACGCTGGCACTGGACTCTGGAGCAGTGAAAACGCTTTCTGTGGAGTAATGAATCACACTTCTCTATCTGGTAGTCTGATGGACGAGTCTGGGTTTGGCGAATGCCAGGACCTGACTGCATTGTGCTAAGTGAAGTAAAGTTTGGTAGGGGAGGGATAATGGGGTTGTTTTTCAGGGGTTGGCCTAGTCTGCTTAGTTCCAGTGAAGAGAAATCTTAATGCTTCAACATACCAAGATATTATGGACATTTTTTGTGTGCCTCCAACTTTTTGGGAACAGTTTGGGGAAGGGCTATTTCTGTTCCAGCATGAATGTGGCCCAGTGCACAAAGCAACGTTCATAATGGCATGACTGGGTGAGTTTGGTGAGGAAGATCTTGACTGGCCCACACAGAGCCCTGACCTCAACACCATCAAACACCTTTGGGATGAACTAGAATGGAGATTGTGAGCCAGACCCTCTCGTCCAACGTCAGTGTCTGACCTCACAAATGCTCTTCTGGATGAATGGGCAAAATTCCCACAGACACACTACAAAATCATGTAGAAAGCTTCCCAGAAGAGTGGAAGTTGTAATAGCTGCAAAGGAGGGACCAACTCCATAGCAATGCCTATGGATTTAGAATGGGATAAAAGCTCCTGTAGGTGTAATGTGTAGGTGTCCCAATACTTTTGTCTGTATAGTGTATGTCTCATAGTGGTTGTGACATAATAGCTCCCAAAAAGTGCGATAATAAATGATTATAATAAACCACAATAACTTTAAAAGATGTTGTACTTTACCTAACATGTTTGTCAACAAAATATTGTTGTTTTTTTTACTTTTAATTGATTTCAATTCATTTTAATTGAAAAGTAACAGAAAATCAGACATTTCAAAAGAAGACAAGGTGCTCCCAGTCCTTCAATAAGTATAAGATGGTAAAGAACTTGTTGGAAGCAAGAGTTTCTGGCTGTCAGAGAAAGCAGAACTGATGTAACGGTGCTGTTTGATGATTAAGTTCATAAATACCTGTATCGTGTCAGGACAGAGCATGTTGTGCGTAGACTAAGTGGAACCTTCTAAATGGTTAGGCAAGCCCTGACATCTTTTGTACTTTCATCCTATCTTCATAGACTCTACCTGTCTGCATACGTCAAATTTGTCCACCTCAGAGGCCTCCAGCCACTTCACCTATTACTTCCAGCTGTCTCTGGACAACCAGGAGTCCGTCATCACCTCTGCCCACTTCTGGTTCTACGCTGGTGAGGCCATTGCAGGAGATGCTATCCCTGCCCCCCTCTACATCCTCACATCGCGCCAGGAGCTGCTAGAGGTGGCCAAAACACCGGCAAAGAGCAGTCCTGATGGCTGGACCACCTATCGACTGGACCGCCATCTCCACGCTGCTATGGCAGATGGGCCGTTCATGCTGCAGGTCTGATTTAGTGATGAACAGGTGTAATCAACGTGTAATCAAGTTTTTAGGGATACATTTCTGACAGATAAGCTTGACAGAATGTTTTCTGGTTTCAGCTGTTTTACCCCTCCTTTAATCTAATTGTACCATAACCCATTGGAATGATATTTTCTAAGTAGTATTGACTCCACATACCTTGTCTCATCTCCAGGCTTTTTATTTAATTGTTCTGTTTTAATACATTAGATTATGAAGAGGTACAAATATGTACTTTTCACCTTGGAAAAAAACTTACTTAAGATACACAACTGGGCCTTAAAACCACTGTTGTACCTTTAAGGGGAAAATTTATATTGTTTGTACTTTGCTGAACAAAAATTTACCTGCACAGAACCTTTATTTCTAACAGTGTGCAAATTTTAATAAAAATTTTATAAAAATGACGTAATACATAAACACCGTAAAAGTTTCAAAATGTAGCATTCATTCGAGGACTGAACTGAACTCCATTGCACTTAATGATTTACTGATATAGCTCGGGGCAACATACTTTCACATCGCACTGCATTATAGGATCATTCCAACATATTGGCAGGGTTCATTCTTTGTTTACATGCTGCAAATATGCACATACACTGTGAGAGCTTAAAGAGATTGCTGTTTATTGCAGTTGTTCGGGCTTCTCATGCTTAAAATTGAATTAAATAAATAGGAAATGCATCTTAACCAACTCCAGAGGGATGCCAGATGTTTATATAATGTTAAAATGAGACTTATGACAGCGTGGAGCCATACAAAATGGTCGCATCATTGCATACCTCACCACGAAGCGGATGCTTTTGTTATCCAGCTTCTTATTTGTTTTTGTCTTTCCCACTGTAAATGATGCAGCAGTTACCTTCCGGTGCTTATGACGCATTTTGGAAGAGTTAGCTGATTACAGACGTGATGAATCCACTAAATTATGTTGAAAGTTTTATTCAGTAAAAACTACATAGCTAGATTTAAAAAACAAAGGAACTTGTTTATTCACACCTCTCACAGTGATGCTTCCGGTGTGCTGTTTAACCATAAGAGCTGAATAAACCTTCCTTCTCTCTCTTCTTTCCTTGATTTTACTCTGATCTTTGGTGGTAGTCAGATCCACATGGTAGTCAGCTCTGTGAATACTCCGTGAGTCCATGGGCTCAAGATCAGCCAAAATGAAGGAACAAAAATTAAAAAAGGAAGATTCATAACTATACTGCATCAGCCTAGACCGACTAACCCTGCCATAACGGTGTATCACTCTTAAGACACTGTGTTATCTCATTCCAAAGCTCTATATGGCAAGTTGCTAAAACAGGGCAATGTTGTGGGCAAATTTTGCTTCTCCTGTCTCGCATTAGGTCCGATGCCCAGCCTGCGGATGTTACAGCTCGGAGGAGGACAAGACCCCCTTCCTGCACCTTCATACCAGGCCACATGCGCCTGACCGAGCCCGCAGGGCCCCGAGCATCCCCTGGTCACCGAGCGCCATTGAGAAGCTCCAGAGGCCTTCATCTGAAGGCATCAACATCGACTGCAAGAGGGAGCAGATTGAGATATCCTTCCAAGAGTTAGGTTGGGATAACTGGATCGTGCACCCAAAGGTATTCAACTTCCACTACTGTCATGGTAACTGCTCCAGCCTGGAGCGCACCACCACTTTGCTGGGGATAAACCAGTGCTGTGCACCGGTGCCCGAGAGCATGAAGTCACTCCGTTTCACCACCACTTCTGACGGAGGCTTCTCCTTCAAGTATGAAACCCTGCCCAACATCATTCCTGAGGAGTGCAACTGCTTTTGATCCTCTCATACAGTCAGCTTGTATTTTGATGGTATTTGATCTTCTCATTTGACATATTCATTTCCAATCAGTAAAGATTGCCTACATGAAAACTGTAGATTTGAAGATGCTTTGGGTTTAGACTTCATTAAAAGAGATGGAAACTATGTTGTTGTCCTTTTCATGGCTAGAGAGCAACGTTCTACCTCTTAAGGTCAGTAAAAAAGAATTTCACTCAGACTGACAGTTGGCTAGTCAGTATTCTTGGAAGTACTGACTAATTTTCTTTAGTGATTAATTTTTAAATGCAGTAGGTACAGAAGTTACAGACACTTAAAAAAAAAAAGACCATTTACTGTAAAGCGAAGTTATATCCCTGGGTGAGTTTAACTTGTAAAAGATGATGATGCAAGATGTTGTGTAGGTTCACTGGTGGTTTGGATAGTAAATAAAATGGCTATATTTTGTAGATCATAATCCCTGGTTCCTATCACCACTACTGTTAAGAAATCAGAGTCTGTATTTTTCTCCATATGAACCATTTCACATCAAACCACTCTGAATGACATCTCCACACAAATTTTGTAGGAATTTGATTCTGATTCCACTACATTCCAATAAACTAAGACAATTCATTATGATTATACTAATTACATACTGTGCAAATGTATTGATTATTATTATTATTATTATTATTATTATTATTATTATTGTTCATCCAAGTTACCCTTTAACTTAGGCAAAAACAAAAACTACTCAACTGGTTATCAATATGCAATTTTATTTTTCAATGCAAGCAAACAACAAGGACAATAACTACAAAATGTATCAATGCACAGGAATCTGTCTAAATGGTACAGAAATGATTTTGACTTTGTACCATGTCACCAATAAAGCAAAAAAATAAAAATCATGAAGGACTGAACATCTTCCAGTTGAAAGCACATTTCTACAATGGCACAGAACAAATGACAAAGATGCCACAATTACACAGCTGAACCTTTCAGATGCAGTAATCTTTTTGAATCCAGTTTTACCACGATGAAAAATGTGCTGATGAGCAGATCCATCCAAACAATCAGAACTGAAGACACAGAGTTTGAAAAATGTTAGTACGTTCATTCCAAGACAATATTAGAAGTAAATGGATTTCAAAAAAGACAAACGCTAAGGCACAACATGTTAAGTCACAGCTGATTTGATGAGTTGTCACAACTGACAACTCACCAAATGCGACAATTAGATCAAAACAGCACAAATGCATTCATTTCTATTCTTTAATTTATATCATTTAAATTACAAAATTAACACATTCAAAGTATACTTCTCCTACTTGTACTACAGCCAAAACAGATACTAAGGTATAGAATTTATTACAAATGGAATAGAATGTAACAACTGGTTCAATGTATTCAGATGAATGTAAAATAGACCTTTTAGGTCAAAAGTTAAACAGCATGAAAGATTTTAATTTACATTATTCAAGCATTCTCCAGGTTTTTAGTACTGTCCAAATCTGGTCAATGGCAGTAATGTTATTCAAATGTGCATTCTTATTAGTTTCATTGTTAACACATACAAAGACAGCGTGATCAGAAGCCTACTGTGCAGTCACTGTTGTAAGATCATAAGGCACTGATATGACCCAGCATCAAACCTGGGAAGATGTGAAGTACCACAAAGAAGAGGAATGAACAGTTACCTCTCATACACGCATGCACACATTACAAAGCCTTACACAAACACTACAAACCACAAACTACAGATCTTGTTTGCTAAGTATTTACACCAATAGAGCTTTCATATATTGGAATGATGAAGTGGAAGACTTGGTAAGTTTTGGCTTATGGCAATGTGCTGAGAAACAAACCAGCCTCATTTTGACAGAATATGGCATCCATGTCTGTATCGCAACTTGGAAAACAACATTGAAAGGATATTCCACTACTTCTCTGTCATGGCAAAGAATGTGACTACAGCATATTTATTATTTGACACAGGAAATTCTAAATGTATAACACCCAATCCTATTTGCATTATCATGAGCCAGTTTAATCATGCCCCTGCTAACTTTAATTCATCACTCCTACATTACAATAGGAGGAAGAAAAGGACAGTAAAGAGCGGTTTTTAGGTTATCCTTAGTGCCCTAAATGGCTAGCAAAGCAAACTTTGCAATGCAAAGCATAGTGTACATACATTTGTGAATAATTTGTCTGGCTGTAAGTTTAACTGTGATGTATTACTGTGGTGTATTACCTTTCTTTTTTCGCTGTTATCTAGAGTAGTTTGCAGTGTAACAGATGGAGTAGTTTGTAACCCCAAGCTCAGCAAATCAAATGTCATGGTTTTGAATATTAAGCATTTTATAGTATTTGGCTTGTAAACAGCTTTGTGTGCCATTTTTTGGGTTTGAAAAATAGGAAATGCGTCAGGTTGCCATGATTTCTGGGGCGAGTTCTGCTGCTGAGGTTGACACATTCACTCAGTCCCTTGCCCAGCTGAGGGTTAATCTAACACAGCACACTTGAGCATGATGGAACTGCCCTAGAGGTGACATTGTAGACTGGAGAGGTCAAGTGGACAAGGGCATGTTAAAACCAGTATCTTAACAGGTAACGGTTTTAAACTCAAGCACCTTCTCTTTGCTTGACTGATGCCATTTTTGCCCCATTGCGTCTCAGTGAGGTCTTTGGACCATTTTGCTAAAGAGCATATAAAGCAGTATTCACCTGCGCTGAGCAGATGAGACATAAACGTGACAGTGTGAAGTAGTGGAGTCTCCCTTTAATACTGAAAGGCACATTTTTCTCCTAAACATACAAACACATGCGCATTCACACGCACACACACGCATCTTCAGTATCACTTGTGTCAATGACTGCCCTCCGATATGTGCAGTCCGTCCCATAGAAGGCCATTTTGATTGACTGAGAGGCAAGACAACAGCAATGCACTTGCTTCAAGCATGGACCCCTTTGGAAGCAAAGTGGAAATAAAACAAATATTACAAATACATTTGAATTACAAAATGAGAGTAAAAAAAACAAACTATTGTCCTTTAGCTCTAGAAAAGATCAACTTAGGTTACTGAAAATATAGTCAAACAACACCATACACATACTTCTTGTGTTTGATGTTTTTTCTTCATAACTTTCATGAGGTTTTATGCACCAAACCAGTCAATATTAATTTTTACATGGCCATGTTCCCAGTTTTTTTTTTTATTCCCTTAGAAATAAAACAGGCTGTTTTTGTTCCTGTAGCTTTAAGACTGTTTTAAGCATGTAGTTTATACAGTCTTAAGGATATAAGTAGCTTCCATTAATTGTTAGCTACATTAGCCTCATAGCTCCAGAGCGAAACGAAAGACGTTTTGGACACCAAACATGTATTGGCTAACTAAATACTTTTGAAGTAAGGGGAAACTGTTCATGGCTGTAACATTGCAATTAAGGATTTCAGAATTGTTTTTTCAGCTTTGTTTCCATACATGGACTATATGAACATCGACCTTTAACAATGTTTACACAGTACAGAGAATTTTTTTGTTTCAAATGGTTTTTCATTAAATGGCCTCTTTCACATGACCCAGCAGGTGTTCTAGGCCTGATCCTATGTCCTACGCACCTTTCTCCGCAGCGCTGACGTGCTTCTCCTGGGCCAGGTTGAGTCGGTTCTGCTCCGCCGCTGTGCTGTTAGACTCTGGGCTGCTGTTGCGCGATGCTCCCCCTTCTTCATTGTGGTAGGCCTGGTCCAGGTGCTGCTGCGCTATCTTCAGGTGCCTCCGCAGACGGTCCAGGTCCCGACTGGCTGCCTGATCACCCAGCGACTCACGTCCCGAGTCGCCCAAGTCACAGAACTCTCCCTTCAGCCTGCTTGAGGTGTCCTTCTTCAGGGTAGTGTGGTAGCCCGGAGGGGCGCTGGTCAGCCGGTGGCACAGGGCAGTGGTGTGCGGAGGCCCAGACAATGAGCGCCTCTGGGCGGCTTGCTCACGGCATGTGTCCCTCAGGCCACCGATGCCAAGATGCAGAATCTCCAGCATGGTCAGCAGCAGGCAGAGCATGCTGACCACGTACATGATGATTAAGAAGATGGTCTTCTCTGTGGGCCGTGAGACAAAGCAGTCCACGGTGTGTGGGCATGGGCTGCGGGTGCAGACGTATGAGGGAGCTACCTCGAAGCCATATAGAATGTACTGTCCGAAGAGGAATGCCACTTCGAAGGCAACGCGTGACACCAGCTGCAGCACATACACTTTCATCAGGCCGTCTCTCTGGATGCGCCTCCGCCCGTCATGCTTCACAGGGGTGCTGCAGGACTCAGCTGTTGCCTTGTAGGGGTAATTGATATGAACACAAATTTATAATCATTATCCAATTTTTGCACCACAAAATACAACAGGGGTATTCAACTTTGGTCCTAGAGGGCTGGTGTCCGGCACAGTTTGGTGCTTTCCCTGCTCAAACACAGTTGATTTAACTCATCTGTTAATTGCCAGGTTTGAGAAGGGCAGGGGTGCCCAATCCTGGTGATCTACAACCCTGCAGAGTTTAGCACCAACCCTAACCTCTAACACATCTGATCGGTAATGGTAATGAAGGCCTTTAGGGGCATCTGAATATTAGGGCCAGGTGTGCTTGATCTGAACTTTCCAGTGTGGTACATTTCCAGGATTGTGCTGGAGTAGGGGAATTACCAAACTGTGACATTGGCTTTTCAAAAACTCGTTATATCCAAAACTGTTACAAACTGATAAACAGCATTTTAAAATGAAACTCTTCAACTGGAAAGGTTACTTTTTTCTGTTTTGTGCAAACAGTTGCACACAGTCTAGCAGCTCCTTCCTATTACTGCACATATAAAATATCTAATTGCAATTTTTCTGACCAATACTGTGACTGCGATTTAAATGGTTATTTCCTATAAATTAGGTGCAGGCCTGTTTTTGGCCATGAATACCAGCAAATCCATGTTTTCTGGCTTAAGGCTGGAACAATGAACGTATTTTACCAGAATGCCAGTTAGTTGCAAATGTGCTGTCATGTACACATCATATAGCTGTTCAGTTGCTCCTATTTGGTCTAATTAATCAACAAGTTCACAAGCTCTGTGTTATTAGGTTACATTGCTCCACTTAAAACTTGCTAAGGCAATACTGTAATGTAATGTAAGCTATAATAAAAATTGCAGTTCTATGTTTACATGCAAAGATTTTTGCCAATTTGATTGAATACATTCCGATTAGATTAAGACTGAGGTGTTTATATGTTCACTCCATTCAACGATCTGATAGAAAATCTTCATTTAAATATGCATTACAAGTAATCCGATCCAAAATGACACGCATGCGTGGAGTACCACTTAAAGTAAATGTTAACATAACAGCGAACATCGCGTGAGTCCAATCAGAGTGAGATGAGTTTTTAGTTGGCGCGTTTGTGTTTTTAATTGTTTTAAAAATTTGTCAGACTCAGAAAAAGTACCTCACATGTACTTATTAAGGAAGCGGCAAGCGGAAGACATTGTGTTCTGAGGCACATAAGCTGGACGCCCGTCTCACCGCCATCTTTTAAAGTTTAAAGCATTAACTTCGTCTCCTCTGCAGACCAGTTTCCGCTCCCGCCATATTGAACGTTATAAACTTTTGTTATGACACGAACTAACATGCACAGAACGTACTTACACGTTACGACTGCAAATGTAATCGGATACAGGCGTTTACATAGTTATTATTCTTCTATTTAGCGGATTGTTTACAGGATTACCCATCTCGTTCAATCGGATAGAAATTGTATTCCGAATGGCCTCAATCGGACAAGACTATTCCGATTGAAGTGTATACATTGACGTATTCCATTCCGATCGAGCTATTAGTCAGATTATTAACAGATTATTAGGCTTCATGTAAACGTGGCTATTTTGAGGAACTGCAGTCTTTCAAATTGCAATTTCAATGTAAAAATGATTAATCTCTCAGCCCTACCTGTATATACATGTTTTGAGGATGAGAAAACGCTTACTAATGTTTTTACCACTCTCTGCATTATGTTACTTCTTTGCTGAAGCTCAGAACCTACAAAGACAAACCAATTTGGGCTATTTGTGATTCACCATTTCGATTTTAATATCAATATTCACATCCCAACCCTACCTTCTTGTCCTTCTCAGGTGGCTCGATCTCCTCCGTTATCATGGGCACCTCCTCACCCACCTCATCTGCCTCTTCATAGTCATGGTTAGCACCACGGTGCACCAAGGGTATCCGTTTGCGCTTCCGTGGCAGGTAGTCATCATCATTCATGCGAGCGATCTTGTGCATGGCGAAGCCTAGATACATGATGGAGGGTGTGGTGATCATGATGATTTGGAAGACCCAGAATCGAACATGGGAGAGTGGTGCGAAGGCATCGTAGCACACATTCTCACACCCAGGCTGCGCAGTGTTACATACGAATTTACTCTGCTCATCATGGTAGATGGTTTCACCACCCACCACCGTCAGAACAATCCGGAAGACGATGAGGAGCGTGAGCCAGATCTTCCCCACAAAGGTGGAATGGTCAGAGATCTCATCTAACAGGCGTGTTAAAAAGCTCCAACTCATGCTGCCACTGTGACCAGGGACCAGTCAGCTCTGAGAAAAAGTGAAAAGAAAAGCATGAGAGCATAAGAAAAATCAGTGAGACATACCACAAATAAAGCATTATAGTCTAAAGAATGCCTTTTACAAACCCAGTTCCAAAAACGTTGGGACAGTATGTAAAATCTTAACAAAAACACAAAGCATTTATTAGTAAATTCTCTTTGACCATATTAAAATGGTACAAATACACAATATTTGATGCTTTACCTTATGAACTTCATTGTTTTTTTTTATAAATATGTGTAATGTGTAATTGTCCCAATACTTTTGCCCATGCAGTGTGGAATTATACACAGCGTGATTCAGAAAGATTCATCCGATTTCAAAATGCCATATTTTTACAACCTAGGAACTAATCACATACCAATTGAAAGAAGGGGTCATAGAGTTTTTGACTGTCAGTATGGCAGTGAACATCCAACAGCTCAGAGCATGCGTCACTGGTACCAACAGTTCCAAGAAAAAGGTCACCAGCATCACCAGATCTCACGCCGTGTGACTTTTTTTGTGGGGGTACGTTAAGGATTCGGTTTATGTGCCACCACTCCCAACAACACTGGATGATCTCCGAAATCACATTGAAAGAGCCGTGAGTACAGTGACAATGCTCAATCGAGTATGGGTTGAATTTGACTATCGCATTGATGTTGTCTGGAGGAGGTCATATTGAGCACTTGTAAAATTATGTATATACACACACACACACACACACACACACACACACACACACACACACACGTATACCCTAAAATCTGTCTCACAATGGATATCCATGAAGATAATGAATACCTAATCATTCAAATGAGAGCTATAAACAATTTACAGGACTATTTCTTGCTATAGGTCATATAAACAGTTGCTTAGGGCTCCCAAGCCAACCCATGAGCATGTAGAATTTATTTATTTATTTTATTTTCACATACAGTCTAATATAATTTGTAATACTACTACTACTACTACTACTACTACTACTACTACTAATAATAATAATAATAATAATAATAATACATTTTCTCTATAGTCTTTTATCGATTTATTGTCTTAGCATTTAGCACTTAGCACCATAGCATTTATTACACTTTTTCTGATAATAATATGATCGGGGTGGGTGGGAGGTCTCCAAGAATGATGTCGCTAGATAAAAGTTTTTTTTCCATTAAACTCTGACTTCATTAAGACAAAGCAACTTTACAATTACTTTCAAAGCAAGTAGCGAAGGTTTCTTGTGCAGACTAAGCAGCCACAATGCCTTTTTTTCTTCCTTGAGTGGCTGGAGGTCACACCTTATTCCAAACGTATTTCAAAACCAGTAACATGCAGCTAATAATTCAAATGTGCAAATAGTTACAAGACCTTAACAAATAATGACTCATCTGACCATTAGATGGCATTGCAGCAACACAAAAGCAATGGGACTCATGTGGTTCATTTCACTGGCCAGGTGATTGTTACTGCACACACCTCTCTAAAGTTATCCACAGTGACAAGAGCAGTATTTTCCTATCACAGCTTTTATGGATTTTACATGCACCATTTACAAAAATATCCAGTGCATCTATTGCTGACGCAGGGATTCACATGCACACACACATGTATACCTCCATAAAAAAGCACTGCCAATAGAATGAGATGCTCTGGATCAGCTGCACATGAACTTCACCAATGCCAAGCATCAACAAGAGGGATACAAATCCCCCCAGTACTGGGTCGTGGAGCAATGAAATTGCATTCTCCAGAGTGACGAAACACCATCATTAATACCTTAGGGACGAGATGGAGTGACATCTATGATCCAAAACTAATTATCCAACGTAAAGCCTTCGCAGAAGAGTAGAGGCTGTTACTGGGGGAGGGGGAGGGGGGGGGGACTCCCTATTGATACCTTAGATTTCAGAGAAAACATTAGATAAGCAGATGTCTAGAAACTTTTGGACACATATGGCTGGTTTCCCCACTGACACTGGTGTTTAGTCCGAGCCTAATTTTTGTCCTTCAAACCAGCCCATACTGCAAAGCTAAAGATGTCTGAACTCTATGACACCCCTATGTCTAGCCTTATACCCAGCCCTAAACCAAAATATGCATGTCTCAGCAACATTCACTTATCAAATTCTGTCTGTAGCTCCTTTCCAATGTTTATCTTTAAAATCCAGACAGAAAGCGCAGATTGTGGCCTGGCATATCAATTTGCTCATTAAATATGATTATCTCCTGAGCAGGTGCCTGCTGGAATGTTCCAACTCAGAAAACAACTGGCCACACTGCAACATGCTGGAAAGAGACATGTCACAACATCCAGTTTTCAGCACACATCAAACAAGCCAGTGCCTTGACAAGCATACAGAAAACCTCTGCTGGAGCATTTCTGTGATAGTAAAAGCAAACTACTTTGATTGTTATCATGCAATTCTGCAATCTGTCTGAAACGTGTCAGAAAGCCACCCCTTCAGAGCCTACAAAAACGCCTCCAACCACAGGAGGTTAAAGACAATAAATAAATACCATATATAGTATATATAAATAAATACAATAAATACCATGAGTCACAAAGAGAGTAAGAGTACGTCCCTGGTATTCTGCTTTAGTACAAACTCAGGTCACACTTCCATAAAATAATATCTACTCAATTCACTGCACCTGTATGACTTCTTACAGTTCTAACAGTGGTTTTGACTGTTGCTCTGAAGCAGGGATAAACACTCAACCTTTCTTGAAATAGGCTTGGGTGTGATGCAACATCACTTTTGTCCAAGGAGACTGCATTTGCAACATAACTGTGATCGGCAATGCTGCTTCTTCACAGCATGCAGGTGATTCACTGCATAGGATATGGTAAGGTTTTGCATAGTGGAGAACGCTGCTTTCCAAGATATTTAAACAAATAGCTGTTGTCAGAACAAAACATTGAATCTCCAAAATAGTAACTTGACAGGAGAAGGAAAAAACTTACTTTACTTTTAATATAAGTCAATGGAACTCAATGGAGACTTTTTTCCCAGGTCATTTTTGGGCCACTTTTGGTACTTTCTACATAATGTAAAAGGTCAACAGGCATTTTCAAATTATGATAAAAGCTGAAAAATGACAAAAGTGAAGATACTTGATGCTTGAGGCACAACTGTCTGTCAGCAGACCCTGTAAAAAAAATAGTTGTGGCCAAACTGTAAATTCAGGAGTCAAATTAGGCCTTTATAACATCTGTTTTTTATTTTAATATGAATGATAATATCATCTATTAGGAAATTAAAAAAAAGAAGAATATCACCCAAATATGGATGCAAATTAAGAATACATGATTTGTAACAACAGTGCACAAAAATAAATAAAAGGAAAAACAAAAATACATTCCAGGCCAAGATTTACTACTGCAAACTAGAAATGTGACCAACTCATGACAGCAACTGTTTTCCAGTAACTCTAGGAAACTGGGAACAGATAGCTCGCATTTATGTATACTGGAGAAAAAGGACGCAGCTATAAAGCGGCAAATGAGTGCTGTCAGGTATGTCCTGGGGTTGAAGTGCTGAGGAGAAGCTACTTTTAACAGGCCCCTTCCAACCCCACCCCCGAGGTCAACATCAGTTACTTTGTGAGCAGACAGCAGCTTCAAAGACAGGGCCGGCAAGTCATGGCAGGCCGCTAACACAGAGCAGAAATGGAGAAGACGGAGAAGACTCTGTGCTCAAGAAAGGGTGAAGCTCACTAAACGAGTTAACACATAAATATTTCACAGTGTGGTGAGAGAAGTGAGGAAATTCATTCTAAAGACTCAGTTCCAACAAACTCTTCGTAAACTGCTGTGCAAACAGGTAACCCAGGGTTACTGCTGCAGCCACATAGGCTCACCATGACCCCCAGATCCAGTAACCATAATCGTGGATAAGGGAGGCAAATGTCTCAAGAACCCAGTGTCTCAGTGCAGAAAACATGTGAGCGGACATGTACATAAAAAAAAACCACAAACATGAGACCAAAACCTGCCATATCAGGTTTGTGTTTTATTCAGACTATACAGGTTTTAGCAAATTCAAAAGAAAGTATCAGTCACGGTCAGACAGTCATTCTTCAGCTCAGTTACAACCTGGGATTTGGAATGTGATGTTACAAGCATTACCCAACATGCGTTTGGATTTACTGAAACCTAAACCCTTTTGCCACATCATGAAAAACAGGTGAAAGACAAATGAATCTGGTAAAACTAAATTACTAATCACCACAAGATCTGCAAAGTCAGAAAAAAATAGGCTCCCACAGACAGCTTGGACAATACAAGCAGTTAAATACTGGAAACTTCAGCTTCAATGCAGGGTGTGACACTTGCTATCAGTTGCAGATCTCTAGGGACTGCTTCTTGAAAAACTTGAAAAAAGTTTCTGGTCATATTATGGATCTTGAATGTTGAACGGGCCTGGATCATGAAAGAAGTGGTCTATTTCACTGGTTATATGAGTTATATGGGGTCTTTTCATTTCTCAACAGAAGCTGAAGTTACTGTATCGGTTACTGTATGTATTTATTTACGTTTAACAGGGCCTGTAAAATGTATGGTAATACTGAAAACACACCACATGCTGTTGAGTTTAATACTGGGTAGTATTATAAATGTATTTTTCTTTGCAGTATATGAATATTTTTGGGAAAAAAGCAACATTAATTTATACCACCTTAAATAGTGTCCAGAATCTGTTATCAGTGATGGAGAAAACCAGAGATTTTGGCAAGGAATGCTCCGCAAAAGCGTTGTCATAATATCACACTGTCAACGTAAAAGTACACAAGTGACATCAGCTATATGATCAATATTAATTTACATGAATAAATATTGTAAATGAATTAGTGTAATGACAAAGGCGTTAGTCTACCTGAACAAGCCTGAGAGACTACAAAAGGTAGTTACTCTGTGACGGCTAGCTGCTCTGCGATAAAAGTCCTCAAAAAAAAATAAATAAATAAACAAGCTAAAATTGACTAGTTACGTAGATAAAAAAATAAGAAAAAATAATTTATGACTTAACATAATTTAGTCTCAATCTCAAAAAAAATGTCTCTTCTGTAAAGTGACCTAAGTGTAGCTAGTTTAAGGCGGTAGTTAAAGCTAAATCCAATCAGAAAACACTTTTTCTGTGCCTTTGGCAAATATTCGACAGAAATTGACATCATGCAACACCTAACATGAACTTTAGCAAGAAACGCCGGTGAGCTGTTAGCCAAATGTGAATTCACTGACAACATATGGCAGCTCACTTTCTAGTCGTAATTCTCAACGAACTTTACCTCTGAGTTTGTAAGGCCCCTCAGCACTTTGCCACGGGAACAATTTGCTTGAAAACCGCAGTGTGAGTCCGGTCTAAACAGACTTACACATACAGAGACAGACAGACAGACAGACAGACAGACAGACAGACAGACAGACACACACACACACACACACACACACACACACACACACACACACACACACACACACTCTGTGTTTACGGTTTAAAAGCGCTCACCGCAGACAAACCTACCTACCTACCTACCTACCTTAGAAAGCCACTAACGTGTCCTGCTCTCTGCGGTTAGCCAAGGTGAGACTCTTCGGCGCTTTACAAAATATCCCGGTGGTATAACGTTTGCTCGTTTCTCACCATCTGCCCCCCTTTCTCTAATAACCCAGTCGGTGTGTTGAAGTTGAATCATGTGACCTCTCCATCCTCGTCGGTATATGAGAGACAGAGAAGAAGGGGCAACCTTCCCCAAATTCCTCCAGCCGTCCTCCTCCTCCTCCTTCTCCTCCCCCTCCCCGACGTAACACAGCTCCGAGGCTAGCAGTTCTGCTAGTGCTTTAAACTCAAAATCTCTCCGCAGGATTTTCTGTTGTTGTTTTTTTTTTACACTGTAAATTATATTTTAAGTCATGCTGTGTAAGGCTGGAACAGTGTTCAGGTTGCTGTGCACTTCTGACCTACAAAAGCGAGAAGTGGCTACAGGAATCCATTAGTTGGTACCTAATGATTGCATTGCATTTCTGTAGTGGCTGCTATGTTTCTGTAGTGCTAATTTTAGAACTGACACTTTAAATGCTATTAAAGGATGATTCCATCAATGTTGCAAAATTTCTACATAATTAGATCATTTAGACGTAAAACACTGAGAGTGGTTTCATGTGAAATGATGCATTCTAGATAAACATAGACTACTGATTCAGAATTCTTTACTGTGGTGCTGAGAGGAACCATGGGTTGGAATGTCTAGACAATCTAGGTATTTAATTTGCCATCTTAAAGAGCCAGTGAACCTAGACGTGTTTTCTGATTTTTATAGGTAATATTGATGATGGTAAAACAGTAGTATGAAAGTATGAAACAAATGCTCTCTCGATACTACACTATATGGACAAAAGCATTGGGACACCTTATTACACACATTACGCCCACAGGAGCTTTTATGACATCCCATTCTAAATCCATAGGCATTAATATGGAGTTGGTCCCCACTTTGCAGCTATAACAGCTTCCACTCTTCTGGGAAGCTTTCTACAAGATTTTGGAGTGTGTCTGTGAGAATTTTTGCTCATTCACCCAGAAGAGCATTTGTGAGGTCAGACACTGATGTTGGGTGAGAGGGCCTGGCTAGCAATCTCTGTGCAAGTTGGAATCATAAAATTGTTCAAAATGTCTTGGTATGCGGAAGCATTAAGATTTCCCTTCACTGGAACTAAGGGGCCTAGCCCAACCCCTGAAAAACAGCCCCATAGCATTATTCCTCCTTTACAAAACTTTACAGTTGGCACAATGCAGTCAAGCAGGTAACATTCTCCTGGCATTCACCAACCCAGGCTAGTCTATTAGACTGCCAGATAGAGAAGAGTGATTCATCATTCCACAGAATATGTTTCTATTGCTCCAGAGTCCAGTGGTAGTGTGCTTTACACCACTCCATCCGACGCTTGGCATTATGCATTTTGATCTTAGGCTTGTGTGTAGCTGTTCGGACATGGAAACCCATTTTGTGAAGCTCCTAACATGCAGTTCTTTTGCTGATGTTGCCTCCAGAAGAAATTTTGAACTCTTTAGTGAGTAATTCAACAGAGGATATGCACTGTGCACTAGCACTCAGCAGCCCTTTGAGTCTGCATGATCTGCTACTTAGTTTCCATTACACAATAATAGCACTTACAGTTGACAGGGGAAGATCTAGCCAGACAGAACTTTCACAAACTGACTTATGGCGAAGGTGGCATCCTATGTAAGTGCCAAAAGTCACTGAGCTCATCAGTACAAGTCATTTTACTGCCAGTGTCTGTCGAGACTGCAAAGCTATGTGCTTAATTTAATCCACCTGTTAGCAATGAGTGTGACTGAAACACGTGAACTCAATGGGAGGGGTGTCCCAGTACTTTTGTCCATATAGTGTATTTTGCCTTAGAACACCCTGCATGTACCTTTCCACCATGAAAGACTTTTGAAAAATATTTTCTGAACTTAAACCTTATTTTAAAATAAGGTTTCACAATGTCACACTATACAACTTAAAGGCAAACAAGTGACATTATGTGAACTATCTTAATTTATATCAATAAATAGTAGTCTAAGGATAAGTGGAATCACAGGCATCAGGTAGTGTGTTGATAGCGTTTTCATGTAATAACTTGTTTTTAAAAGCACTGGGCACTGTCTGGTTCCTATCACAACCGCTGTGAAGATACTCTGACAGATTCTCAGTTTTTTCTAGAATGGAGCATTTCATTTCAAATCACTCAAAGACTTTGTTTACATGTGAATGATTTGGTTATGCAGACATTTAGAATTTATCTTTAATGCAATTAATAATTAATTCCAAATGAACCATTTTCATCATTTTGGAACATTATAATAAACCTTATATTAGTGATGAAGCTGATCTTTTCTGCTGCCATAGTGTAATTCACACAGCAGCAGAAAACATTTAGCTGCTGATCTGTGTAATATATGACAGTATTTATGTCATTTAAAGGTATGAAAAGCCTGACATCATTGCTTAAAACCAAACTTGTGTGATGTTAAGCTTCAGAAAAATTACTATAAGCTGTGAGTGAATAGGAAGCTTATTCTGTGCTTACTGTTTACACCTGCTTATGAAGACTCTTATGCAACCACCTTTGTATCACAGTTGACTTCAGTTGTAAACAGTCTGCTATTGTTAGAGAGGGGAGGCCCGGAAAGTGGCTTAGGTGCCAAAGGCAGAAATGTTTACCATATGCGCTTGTGTCGGATGACTTCCACCCACTTGGAAGTGATTTGTCTCAGTGAAATAAAGCAAAACAGGAGCAGGCAGGTAGATATATGAGCAAGATGGCCATGAAAAAAATGTCTTGTTTATGAGCTTGAGCTTACGCTGAAAAAATATGCGAGAAATGCACCCCTTCCGTGAGGTGAAATTATTCAAGGCTGCCAGTAATGCTGGATGGCTCTAAAGAACATTGCCTACTGCACTCAGAAGTCCATGTACTTTATCAAACTGCCTTAGAAAGCTCGGGGTTCCACCAGACGAGTGTACTGTGTTTCATAATTCCATGCAAAGTGTGAAAATACTTTTCCCAAGCCTGTAGACTGTTCTTTGGAAGAGCGGTGCCCAAACAGACCTGTACCTTATTTGTCGAATCAATAAGGACATCTGGAGGAAAAACAGGGCCTGCTTACTGTCTCTGTCTGGACAATACTGAGGAACTGGTTGGCATCAATTTGGACATTATTGAATAAATTGTTTAAGTGTCATGAGCTTCAAAAGAGTCCTGAGAGAACAATAAAATAGAACAATTAATCTTAAGTTGCCATAAGACTCTTCAGACGTCTGGTTCCCGTCACCACCACTGTGAGCAATTCTGATTCAGTAGGTTTCTCTAGAATAGAGCATTTCGCATCAAACCACTCTGAATGACTTTCTTCATATCTTAAAGATTTGATTATGCAGAACCTTTGAAAAATCTTTGAAATCATCTTTAACTGAAAAATAACAAACAATGCACACCATACAAAAACTCCAAAATACTTTACTGGAAAAAGATGAACTAGAAAACTTTAAAAATAAATAAATAAATCATTAAATACACTGTGTGGCAGGTAAATACATGTTTGTCAGACTCTGTTTCTTACTGTAGGAGAGACCAGTGGAACATTTAAAATGTGCTCCATCGTCACCATGCCGACTCCCATCTAATCATTGCCAGTTCTTTGAGAAGGTACATTTTATTAAGTAATTTTTAAATCAAATGATCAAATCTTAATTGAGTAATAGTAGCTGCAGTAAAGGCAAAGCAAGAAAACTGGAGGGTTTCAGCTGATTGCTCCCTTTAGTGTTTCTTGTGAGGGCCAACAAATATTACAGTGCACAGTAGACCCACTACAAGATTATCAAATTTCACCCCCCAGGAACGGAAGCCAAACCAGCCAGACCCCAACAAAACGATGATACTATATTAACCTAATAACAGCCTCATTAGAGCCAACATCCTGATTTATTGGCACTAAAGATGTCAAAGAAGTATGCATTGGCTGAACTGTCGAAGAGCTGAGAGCCTAGGCTTACTGTAAGTGCCTGCTTTAGATTCATGTGGCTTCTGGGGGAAAAGAGAAACGTAAACCTGAAGAATAATCAGAGTAGTACAGCTCCTTATAGTGTAGCTGAGCGCAACGTGATCTCATACAATCAGCCGTCAGTGAACCTACGTGTTTTTATATGTAATGCTGATAATGTAAATTCAGTCCTAAATCCAAACAAGTTTTGTTGCCTTAAAACACCCTAAATGTACCCCTCAGCCATGCACTGCAAAAAAGATATTTCAGGCTAAGATTGCAGTGTATTTGTGATCATTTCATATGGTAGTTTTCTGTGGGATAGCCTTTAGAAGTCTGGTAACTATTACCAACACTGGTGAGCAATTCTGACTCGGCAATATCCTTTACAATGCACAATTTCCCATCAGACTACTCTGATTGGCTTTCTTTGTGGTCCACTGTTTTAACACACCTGATCCATCTCATCAAGGGCTTGATTATTTTGTGATGAACTGGTGAAGCAGTGAATAGCTGAACCCCATCACCACCACCACTACCACTTAACCTCCCTGTTCCAAAGATCACACTTGCAGTTTTATGTAGTTGTGTGTATGTTTATGTGCTAATGTGATATGTTCATAAGCATTCCAGCTTGTCCCATTTCTGAAACAGACAAAAGCACAATGAAGTGGTATTGGGCTATGTAGAGTTGTATACAGAAGTTTGAACACCCCCAGCCACATTACATAGTTTAGAGGTTAACAGGCTCTTCACTATGAACAAGCTTAAATTCTGCATTTTTCTGCAAGTTTTAGCTCATTTTCTATTTATTTGCTGAGTTAAACACATTGAATATATATATATATATATATATACATATATATATATATAAACTACATATATATAAACTTTTGCATATGTCTGTGTATATGTCCTCAGTTCAATGCATTGATCACACTGAAGAATGTTAACATTGTGAGAATGTCTTCAACTACTTGTCCCACAAAGATACATACATATTCGCACACTTGTACTCACAATGCTTTTGAACTTCTGCTAAATTTGAAAATACGTGAACACAAACTGCAAGTGTGGACTTTTAGCCAGGCCCCAAGAAACACTGCCCTATTTTGCCCCATCATCGGAACATTTGAGTTCAAGCCCTGGTGATAGCACAGCCATCCATAACTGAGAGTCCAAGAGAGTATAACTGCCACTCCTCTTTGTGAGTGGGAAT